TCTCTCTCTCTCTCTCTCTCTCTCTCTCTCTCTCTCTCTCTCTCTCTCTCTTCCATTCTGCTGTTTTTCTAATCTACAACTAAATTTAAATTAAACCTTCTTCCCTCACCTCCTGTCCACAGGTGCCTTTCTCTTCCCCTTCATCCTGATGTTTATCCTGCTTGGCTTCCCCCTCATGTTCTTTGAACTCGGTTTTGGACAGTTTGCCGCCCTTGGACCGGCTGCCATCTTTGACAGAATCTGCCCTATTCTCAACGGTAAGGCCATGGCTTCTCGTTATGACTGTCGCCCCTTAAACAGTTGAAATTGTCTAAGATGACCAGCCATTGATGTGGAGAAAAGTGGTTGTCTTAGACAAGTGGACGTCTTACACACTGTTATTCTTATGTTTAAAAAATATGCAAGGGAGGATATGGGAAGTGGCTGTTTGCAGAGATGACAGGTGGCGGTTACAGCCTGTTGGACTGTATTTGCAGAGGGGTTTTTTTGCATTCTGGAGACAAAATTCAATATCACTGGTAACAAATTGACATTATAGCTCTGTTGTTTTTTCCCCCATAAATTGATATGGAAGCCACTACTTTTTGGTACAAATTAGTAAAGCCATAATTTTGGAATATAAATTACCAATGTAACTTTTTAACACAAACTCATATGTAAGCTGTTTTGTTTTTTAATGAATACAAATTGACCGTAACACTTTGCCGCCTCATCTCGCAGATTGGAGATGTTTACCACCCAGTTTCTTTGGATTTTCCCCAAAATATGATGGCAAAGTGTAGTAAGCATTGTTGTTTTATATTGGTGATGCTCCTCTTTTGACATGGCTGTCATGCTCTTATGTTGTTGACCTGGTACTGTCCCGTCACTAGGTATCGGCTATGGCATGGTGGCTGTCTCAGCTATGGTGGCCTTCTACTACACAGTCATCATAGCCTGGGCGTTCCTCTACATGTTCAAGTCCTTCACCTCAGAGCTGCCCTGGGAGCGCTGCCACCCGGACTGGAGCACTGAGAGTGAGTTTTCCAGGGTTGAGAAGATAAACTTTTCTTTTAATCAATTTTTTTTGTGGTTTTCTTTTGCTCATTAAATTTTTTCTTCTTTACTCCATCAAATATTATTTTTTACCGCCCGGGGCGGTTCTACTGACCGAAGTGTCTTTAGGCTTAGGTCATTCCCAAAGGGGGGATATTAACCATGTTCTTATGCACAGTAGAATTGTGATTGTAAATGGGCTGATTCATCAGTGTCATGCTCATAACTGTGCCTGAACTGCAACAGGGAACTTGTTTTTTCTTTCCTAATCCTTACTATCGTCATTTTACCTTTATTTTTTTGGTATGTTTGTCACACTCTTGTGACCAGCTATTTCCGGGGTACCTTGGTAGTTGAAGCAGACTTTGTGCTGTTGAGGCTAGAGAGGTGTGCAGAGTAAGCCTGATTCCTTGTAAGAACTTCTCTGTTGACATCCTCCCCTTTGAGCTCATATAACCTTATGCAGTTGCGAACGCCGTAAAACCTTACTAAAACAAAAGATTATTTTTAAACTTAATCAAAGATTTTATTCTTTACTCCCAGATTATTTCTTAACTGTTACTCCCAAAAGATTGTTTCTTACCTCCCAAAACGTTATTCCTTAACTCCCAAAATAGTATATTTCTTAACTCAGCTAAAAGATTATTTCTTCACTTGCTTTTTTAAACTTAAAGTTAATTTCATAACTGAATATTATTTTGTTAATTCAGTCCAAGGTTATATCTCCACCCAGTAGAAGGTTTTTTATTACCTCAATAAACGATTATTTCTTAGGTAGCTTGGTAAAAAATTAGTTCTTTTGTAACTCAAGCCGAATGCTAAGAATTATTTTCCTAGTTCATAATGAATGGAAAGATTCCAGTTACCTCAATCAAGGCCTAAGGAGTTAACCGCTGATGTGCTGTTGTTCCCCAATGCAGGCTGCTACTCTCACAAGGATGCCTCAGAATGCACGGTAGTCAACGGATCCCTTTACTACAAGCAACGCTGCTACAACGAGACGGAGGTCAACATCTTCAACATCTCCAGTCTGGCATCGAACAAATCGGACCGTGCAACACCCTCCCAGGACTATTTCGAGTAAGAATTTTTATTAAGATAGATTGTTAAACAAATCAGACCATGCAACACCCTCCCAGGACTAATTTGAGTAAGATTTTTTATTTAGATAGATTGTATTTGGAAAATGAAAAACTTAAGATAAGAGAATGAAATAAAAAATCTGTTGGAGCTATAGGAAAACGGATAAATGAGTACGATGAAATTTATTGTGTCTCCGTTTTAAGAATATTGTTGCGTCTTCCTTGATGCGAAATACATGTACATGGCATTGTTTCAATTCTGTTAACAGTAAGATGTTATTAAAGAAGGTAGAATAAAATGTATTGTTCCTCCTTTTTTAAAAGAAACTGACTGTGTCTCCCCTTTAGTGAAAATATATATGCATCATTGTACCAACTCGATAGTACATCATACCATATCTGCCCAGCACTTTTTCGAGTAAGATTTGTAATTAAGACTGGTAATATGTATCGCGGCGTAGTGGAATCTGGCGCTCGTCAATTTTTGGGCATATGGGGTTATTGGTACCATCTTAAAGCCTGGTCATTAGTCTCCCTTTTGGTGAAAGAAATATCTGTCTATGTTGAATACACGTCAAAATATTTGCGATTGAAGAAGGTCAGGGTCGTCTGGTTTCAGGGGTAAAAATAAGCGGGTAAAATGGCCGCCAAAGTTTGGTAACTCCCATATAGCCTTGCTGTCATTGGAAACTGAAAATTTACATTTTCTGTGCCGTAATGTTTTTCAGTAAAATCCACACCAAAGTGTGTTTACAAATGCACACAAAAGGTGTTGGGCCCAAAAAAAAAGAAAATTAGAAAATAATTGCCCATTGGCCAAAAAAATGCTCATTTCTTTGATTTCATTATTTCGGCCCCCCCAAAAAAGCTCATTTCTTTGATTTCATTATTTTGACGAGCACCTGATTTCACCACCATGCCTCACATATATGTTTTATAACTCTTCCATTTGAAGCTGACACTAAATAAGTTTATGTACCCGCTTGATAATATATGTGCATACTCAATTTCATACCCCCCTCCACACACACACACAGACTCTGCAAACACAGATGCAGATAGTCTCCTCCTCCATTATTTTGTCAATGCTCTTCTCTTCAATGCAACTCTAAGACATTGAGAAAGGGGACAACAACTGTTAATCTCCCCCACAGGCACGGAATCTTGAAGATGTCGGACGGCATCAACGATATCGGCATGATCCGCTGGCAGATTATGCTGTGTCTGGCCCTCACCTGGACCCTCACTTTTTTGTCTCTCAGCCGTGGAGTCAAGAGCGTCGGCAAAGTGAGTACTTTTTTTTTATTATGCCCGTCTAGATGTTGATGTGGATGAATCATTTCAAAGTTTAGCTATGTGGTTGTTTTTTTTTGTTGGTTTTTTTTGGTGTGTGTGTTTGTGTGAGAGAGAGAGAGAGAGAGAGAGAGAGAGAGAGATGGTTAACTTCCACCATCTTATAAATCCAAACCCCCATTGTCTTATCTCTGGCCACCATCACTACCACCATGACCGTTTGTCTGTGTGTCCACTGTCCTGTCTCCACATGATTGACTGTTTGTCTGTGTGTGTGTGTGTCCACAGGTGGTGTATTTCACAGCCCTGTTTCCCTACCTGGTGCTGACCATCCTGTTCTTCCGAGGTGTCACTCTGGACGGCTCCAAGGACGGCATCATCTACTACCTCACTCCGCAGTTTGACAAACTCATCGAGGCTAAGGTCATTTTTACTACTCGCCTTTGGGCAGTTGTGTGTGTGTGTGTGTATATGAGGGGGGGGGGGAGGCGGGGCGGGGCGGTTAATAGTTAAAAACCAAAGGTTTCAACTTTCACATTGCTGTATGCATAAAGAATTACATATACAGGGTGATCCGAAAAAAACTTTACAGCTTGTTTTGTAAATATCTTCCTCCATACTGAAGTTTTGCTTTTCAGATTTCAACATAACGTTTTGATGCCAAAAGGAATTTTTCTGATATGTATTTTAGATAAGTCTATTGAATGGTTTTGCTCTATATAGCGCATAAAAAAACCAACCCATTTTCAACCTTGTCGCCATTTTCATAGCATGACGCACCAGTTCGCATTTGGCCTATCACTAAAAGTTGCAACAATCGCGTTATATTGCAAGATACAGCAGTCTAACAAGTCAACAGAAGTCTGCAGATATCACTTTAGTTTTTTTTGGATCGCCCTGTACTTCTCTCGACTTGTAATTTGATGGATTGGCTACTTACTATGCGCTAAAATTGTAATGTGCCGAGGCAAAGGATGGGGAATCTGTTCTTCATTCCGTTACAGATACTTGCTATTTTGTGTTGAATCGAAATCATCAGGTTTTATTTTAGTTTTAATGTTTGAGGTGTTTCAGAAGATAATGTAGCCTTCTCGCAGACTCAAAAGTGGTCTTGATTTGAGTTGACCGCTGGGCCTTTCTCCAACGTACTCATGTCATTTGAGATTCTCAGTATTGTTTATGGTTTAGTGGCGAGACTTTAGTTGTTGCGCACAAAAGGCTTGAGTTTGGTTTGTGATGAGAGATCTGTTCCATTGATTGTTTCCGTCTTTCTGCTGGAGTGTATCCCATTCAGCCCACATTGCTGCCGTCTTATGACAGAAAAATACATATACAGTCGAACCTGTGTAAGACGGAATTGCAAAGGAGCGGGGAAAAAATTCCGTATTAGACAGGGGAATTTAGGAGGGAGGTGGAGGTTGGGGGGGGGGTTGGGATCAGGGATCGCTTGTCCGATCGGCAAGCAGTCATCAAAACTTCACACCTCTCAGCTGCTATCCTGTCTGATAATGACATGCGTCAGTCTTGCATATCCAATTACCACCAGTGCTTACCTTTCATAGGACCACTGTTTGACCTATTAAAAACAGAAACATTTGAACATTTCCTTTGCTTCCACCCTTAGTCCCACCCACCAATGCCACCCCTCACTGCCATCTTTGTAACAACGATTAGAGGAACTCTGTTCTCGGCTGGCCGTACGATCAGAGCGGCAGGCATTGCTCAATCTCATTTCACACCTCTGGCTTCTAGCTACCAAGGAAAGTTTCCGTAGTGGCTCGCTACTCGAGCACTCTCACAGGCAGTTGTGAGATTTCACACCCACACTACACTGACCATCTGCATCGCTCAGGGCTCACATGATGGGGTAACATCTACCCCCAAATTGCACCCCTACTCCCCTTCCTCGCCCAGCGGCATGGCCATGGCCTTAGGTTTAGAGCCGGCGGAACCAAACTTGCGAGTTTTATTTCAAATCAGGGCTGAGCGGGTGAAGCATTTTCCGTCTTAGACAGGTGAAACCCTCTGAAGAGAGCTGATTTTTCTTTCCCTTTCCGCGTTGGACAGGTTTCCGTTTTATACAGGTAATTAAAGAGGAATATATCAAGGGGGGGGGGAGCGGGGAGATTCCGTTAAGACAGGTTTCCGTTTTACACAGGTTTCCGTTAAGGCAGGTTCGACTGTATATATATGCCAAAAATGAAATTTCACGAGAGAAGGAAAAGCTAACTTTTTCTGTGTGTTTCAAATTATAACTAAGATTTGGTCAATTTAATTATTTTTTGTCAATATTCATTGGCCGGTCTAACTTTTTGCGTGATTTCCTGAGGTATTCAGTAAATGAGTATGGAATAATTGATTGAAATTTCTTTTGTCGTAACGATATCGATGTAATTAGGTCACAGTGCATATTTTCAGTAGCCCAAATTTTTCTTGATTTTAATAGTACAGCCATAAAACCTAGATAGAAGGATTTGTCATGAAAAGGGTTTTCTCCCCTGTATAAAAATGCTACTTGACCTATTTACGCATATACAGTTTCTTTTCATAAGACGGCAGTTTTTGGTGCTGACAGGCAATTATGGCGATAGGAGTCTGAAACTTTGGCAATATTTTTAGGGTTTTCAGCTAAAGCTTTAAGGTCAGGGTGTTTTCAGTGTTTTGTTGTAAGGGGTCAGTTGTGTTTTGTTCATTTGCTGAAACCGAAAATTTTATGACATTTATTAATACAAGTTTCATTATGAAAGCTTAGGAGTAAAAACCCCACCCCACACCCCAGTTGTGCCATTATTCTATGAAAGTTTGCTTTTTATTATTTTATTTTTTTAGATTACAAACATGAAGTATGACATTAAACAATGAAAGATGCATTTCCTCCTGGTCTCACTGACTTGGTTCTGTTTCTTCTTTCACCATTTCAGACATGGGTATCTGCTGCTGTCCAGATTTTCTTTGCGCTGAGCCCGGCATGGGGAGGTCTGATCACACTGTCCAGTTACAACAAGTTTCACAACGATTGCTACAAGTGAGGAGCCATTTCCATAGTGGGCCACCATAGTAGTGGTTTTTTTTTTTAAAGGAAAAATGGAAAAGTTCCTGTTTCACTGGGTTTTTGCATGTCACGATTTGTTGGGTTGTTTAAGGAGTTTTTCAGCTTTCCGTCCCGCGCTCCTCTTTACAAACCTTGGGGTACAACGTACACCGCCGGTCGATGGACTCCGTT